TTGATGTATGGTAATACTATAAAGGGTTGGTAAGTTCCAGGTCTTGAAGTTTTTATTAATTCATCAATTTTTATTTTTATTTGATCTGAGTCCATTAATATATTCTGAATTTTAATCAAGCTTAAAGTCTGTATTCTTTGCGCCGATGCTAAAGCAAGGAGCGTATAGTTTTTTGTGTTAAATCTTTTAATGAAATTAATTCATTAGGGAAATGAACAGCTAAGTAATTTAGTACTAAATTAGTCCCAAGTAGTATCATATTTTGGTGCAGGAGGTTTCATACGGTATACACCTTTTAAAAGCCGCTTGATTAGATGGTTGCAAGTGATATCTTTGACCTAACAGTATGGACAATGCTGAACGATAACTATTAAGTGTGCTATAACTGGCACCGTCGTAATATTTTTGCGTTAAGAATTCAATCAATTGTATTATATCAGCATGAGAATAATCAAAATTTTTATCCTTACAATATAGCCACCATGATTTTAGTGCTGTGTTATATTGAACGAGCGTATTATTAGAGAAAGAGCCCATCATTATGTCGAGAGATGCGTTCGGGATTCCGCGTCTCACCAGCGACTGCCTGATAATATCCCTGCCATTAGGATCAGGTCCGCACATAGAGGATGCAGCTCCCTGGAAGGAGATAGCAATAAATTGTCGTTAGGTTGAAAATATAAGACTTCAGATATTAGTAATTGGTTCCATATCGGGTACCAGGGTTGAGTCGGCCAATATGGTGCCACAACTATCCCACTTGCTATATCACATTTAATCTTAAAAACTTTGGAAATTAGACTAAAGGGTGGAAAAGCATAGAAATTTAGGTTATTCCAATTAAACGTGAACGCATCTATTATTTCTGAGTTCGGATCCAATTCACGAAGCGTATCTCTTACATTTTTTATTTTGAATACTAGCAAATAGATCGAATTCAGGCGAGGGAAAGCTGTATCTGTTCGAAGGCATAATGAGCTAGTTCCCACTCAGTATCATTATTGAATGATTTACGAGATTCTAAATCAGCAACTATATTTTCCTTTGATTTGATGTAATATATGCAAATTACGTTTTTCACACCATTGCCACATACCGCGAGCAATTTCATTCAAATGTATTGTATGCCGCCCATTTTATTTATATAGGCAATGGCAGTAGTATTATCCACTCTCAATAATATATTACAATTACTATATCGCGATGCGAATATTTTAAGGCCATAGAATGCCGCTAATAATTCTAAAGTATTTATATGTAATAATAGCTGAGAACTATTCCAGAGTCCGTGGGCTGTTTCGTTATTGCACGCTACGCCCCAACCCGTATTTGAAGAGTCGCTAAATATTACAACAGAATAGTCGCAACTTTGAAATAAAGAAAATGAGGAGTCTATGTGATCTCTCCACCATACAAAATCCTCTTTTAGATGTTTTGATAGAGTGATATATTTATTGTAATTATTAGAGTAATTATGCTAGGAATTTATTTCAAATAATTTTGTATAAACCCATCCATAAGTCACTGCTGGACATGCGGAGGTCAATAAACCTACGTAACTAGCGAATTCTCTTATTTTACATTTTTTTGTTTGTATTAATTTATTTGTAAACATTTTTATGCGTTTTTTCTTTTCATCGGGTAATGTTAGACTCATATTAATTGAATCAAAAATGAAGCCTAAAAATAAACATTTTTGCTTGGGTACAGTTTTACTTTTATCTTCATTAATTAAAAATCCCAATTTAGAAAGTGTATATTTAGTAGTTTTTAAATTATCAAGACAGTTATTAAATGAGCCTCCAATGCATAAAAAATCATCAAGAAAATTTACGGATATAAAACCTAATGAACGTAAATAATGTAACACGGGTTTTAAAAGTTTAGTAAATACATAAGGTGCAGTACATAGTCCAAATGGCAGTACATTGAATTCAAACAGTTGATTTTTATATATTTCAGAATTCCAAGTAAAACGAAGGTAGATTTTATCGCTTTTGGCAATGGGGACTAAAAAATAGGCATCTTTCAAATCAAGCGTGGCCATAAAACAGTCTTGGTCTATTAATTTTAATGCGGTGCGATAATCCTCCATTTTGAAGTGCTTAACAGATATAAATTTATTTAATTCCTTTAAATTTAAAATAAATCTGTGTTTGCCATTAGGTTTCGGGACTGTAAAAATAGGTGAAATAAATTGATTTTTACATGGGGAACAAGTCGAGATATAACCTGACTGTAATAATTCCGTAATACACTCATCAATTATGTTGATTTCAGTTACCGTATATGATTTAGTTTTAACTATCTGATGTGGGTCACAAAAGAATGGTATTTTATAACCTTTAACCCAGGACAAAATATTTTTATCACGTGTTATTTTAAGCCATTCATCAAAAAAGTACAGAAGTCTGCCAGCAGTCGGTACAATTGTTTTTGTAATATGTACCTGTGATAATGTATTCAACGTCGTCGATCTAAGATCTCGAACGCTGCGTCGGCGGCCAGAGCAGTGCGCCGGTCGCGTGGCCCCCGAGCTGGCGGCGGAGGGGGCTGTAGCGGCGGCGCCGGCTGGAGCGGTACCGAGTGCCGAGACTGGCCGGGGTATCGCGGCTCGGCATACGTTGTCCGCGGTGCCCCCGTCCGTTTAAAGTCCCTGGCGAGTTGTTCTTGGCTGCGAGCGATATTGATAGATCTGTTGCTAATTTGTGTGGAGAATCTTAATTCCGATGCTGACGTTGATATGACCTTAGATGTTTTTAAGTGTTCAGATAAATTTGACCCAAATAAATATTCATCTATTTTTGTATTTTTTATTATTTCACGTTTTTGTTTACTTATGGAATTAACAATAGTAAACCTTCTCGAAAGGGATTCTATGAGTGTCACACAGTAAGCGCCCTGCATCGCTCAGAGTTTTAATAATTTCTTGAGGGGTATTTTCCACTTGTGTCAAAGCTAAGTTTAATGCTTTGCCAATAGCCGAGATGCAGCTAGACATTTGATTTTGTTTGTGCTCACTGTACGAGTCCTTTTTTAAGCTGTTATCGGACAATGCCGACTTCAACTCCGGGTTTAGTACCGGTGCTTTCATGGGGATACAATTTTCTGCGGGTAAATATTCTTTTAAAAGATTCGCTTTTTCTTCTTTAGGTATCCCGTTAGTTAAAATATGTTTCCATCTCATAGCTAGATCTTTATGTAAATTTTCACCAAAGGTTTTATCTTGTGTTGGATCTGACCCTAGTAACTGTAATATGTCTGGGTCTAATTCATCATTTTCCTCTATCATTTGATCATTTTCAATTAGGATCTCGTCAGTAATGACGTAAAAATAACATAATAGGTAAAAATGAAATTTGAGATGCAACGGTTTTTGTCTATACACGCTTTGCGTCAAGACTCGATTATGTTATTGTTATAATAAAAATATTATAACAAAATAATATATAAATATTATAAAATCCACACACATATGTCGGGATTTATTTATACAACATCCACACACTAAAAGTCGGGATTTATTTATACAATATCCACACACTAAAAGTCGGGATATGAATAACTACCACACACGATTACGTCGGGTAGATTTATATAAATGTACCGTCAAATAAAACAGATAATAATATTCTTTGTTTGATATTCATTTTAGAGAATTGTTCTTACCTTGAATTATTGGATCACTGGCTTCATTTTCGATATTTGAATTTATTTGCACAGGAGTTGACGAACTATTTTCTATAGTGATATTTTCCGAATCCGATGATGACAAAATTCTTCTTCTTGTTCTCACTAACTTTTTAACTTTTTTTAACAACCGTTCTACTTCATGACTGTCACCTCTATCTGACCGCTTCCTTTTTCCCATTTTAACTTATTTTTGTTGGAAGAGACGTGTGACTCGGACAACACAAAATCGCGTAATGAGGTTCGGGCGCTTGTAGACTAATAAGGTAGGGAGGCCAAGAGTGGGGAGTTGAGTCATCGAATAGATACTTTTTAATCGATTGTATTTAATTTTTATCGATCAATGCATTTAAAATGATCTAAAAATAGTGTGATAAGGACAGCATCATCTGGCGTGCTGCATGTAATCAGTAATCATCTTCGGGAGAGATACGAAGTATAATAATAAATAACTCTATTGTTAAATATACAATAATGTTGAAATAGAAATGTCTATAAAATATATTTGCATTGCGTTGAATATTCTATTTTATATATTGCCGTTTCGTTTTTGTCTATTTTTGCGGGTGAGACTATGTTGTTGGTCGAGACGATGTATATTACAGATGATAATAAACTGACAATATGTACATAGAAATAATGATCTTTATACTAAATAACAATAGGAAAATGTAAGGTGGGGTGACACAGTTTAGACACAGCATTGCTTAATAGACAATATTGAATTTGTCTTACTAGACATTATTAAATGCAATTATTATTTTGATGTATCTAGGTTACTGTGTCCCATATCTATCAAGCTATAATTTAATTTAATAGTTAGCTAAATTGCAGCTCTCAGTTCTTATGACTAAATTACAATATTCTATGTAATTTTTATGTGTAAGAGACTATAAATGAATAGAACGGTTATATTTACACAATAATTTATTAGAACACTATATTTTTACAATTGTCATATTACATTTTAAAATATAAAATTATAAATAAATACATACATTTAAAATATTGAATTCTTTACATTAAATCTTACAAACTAAAATCTCTTTAGAGTATAACTCTCTCTTAAGTTATTTGATTATGAAACAGTATTCTGGGTTTACCGTAAAGGGTCAATGATATATTATATATAATGCACGGTGAAAACATTTGTATGATTATTTATATTGGAACAGACCAACACATACAATCCTGAATACAAATACAATCACCCATGTGCTTTCTATGTACATATTATATTATGTATGCGATTACAAAATTTATTTAAGTACTTACATCATTTATCTAGTATTCATAACATAAGGTCTGCTTAGCTTGTGGACTAGATGGTGCTGTGTGAATTATGAATTAACAAATTATTTATGAAAATCTCTCTCAAAAAAAGTAAAGTGTAAAGTTTAAAATATTCTTTAAACCTTTCAAATTTCGCGGTCAATATATTGGTACTAATGTTATATGAACCATTACTTTGTCTTAAACAAATGATAAATATTATTATTACATTCTGAAGCAGTATGAACATATAACAGAACAGTCCGTTGGTGTACTTATTAGATAGAGGTTTAACTATTTACCTTTATTCTACTATGATGTTCTAACTTTGGATTAGAAAAACATATGATGTACAAATGGCCCATTGTTGGCATAATAAATATATTTATTATTTTTAATTTGAGATAATTCCTGGTCTGTTACGTTATTTACTAAATTTTACTTAATTTACACCCTTAGTATGGTAAGTTCTAAATTTATTTTCAGATTTCCATTTTCTCGTTGAAAAGAATTCAGATGTATGTGTATTGTACCTGGCATTCGGCTTGGTTGGTTTGGTTTCCTTTAAGACTTATCCCCTATTTATCTCTGGCAAGACTCGAACCCCTGTCATTCGACTAGTGGGAGATGAGTATATTATCAAATCGATAAGATAACGAAACATATTATTTAAACATTCTACATCGATATACTTATAAATTTACAAGTTTTCATATGAGCAATATTTATATTACCACTTTGTCATAAAACTGTCCATAAAAGTTTATATCAATGGCACTTCACACTCAGTAATGGTATCCTGTTTCTTGGTCAAAGCTTGGAGGTTGCCTGGGTCCACCGAAGACTTCTCCTTTACCCGCAAAGCTTTGAGTCGAGCCCTGACCAGGTTGGAAGCTTTGAGAAGTGAAACCGGAATCCTGAGATCCGAATCCTTGCGTGGAACTGAACTGAGAACTTTGGGTAGGTTGAACATTTGTGCTACTTGTAGACTTACAGCAGGGCTTACCAAATTGCTGTTCAGAAGATTGTTGGGTATTAAAACCTTGAGCAATATTTCCAATGGGCCTTGGCGTTTGACCAAGACCAAACTGAGGACTCGAATCTTGAGTGTTTGGTGTACTAAACCGGTTTGAAGTACTTTGATCTGGGTTCGATTGGATTTTGGGAGCATCTGTACTTTGAGCAAATTGTACCCCCTGTGTAGGTCTTACATTGTTAGAAGGTCTTAAAGGTTGATTTCCAAATTGAGGTCTCGAGGTTTGTATTTGATTATTAAACTGGTTGTGTTGTATATTTTGACCGAATTGCGGTCGGGAAGGTTGTACGCCGAATTGAGATATTTCTTGATTTGATTGAGAACTCGAGAAATCTTTAGAGTTTTGTGGCTGACCAACATGAGATCCGAATTGTTGATTTGATAATGATTGTCCAGGTCTTTGATTTGTTTGTTCAGACTCAGAAGTCTCCGTATTTGCAGAGGCTGGTAAAGTTTGTGCAGGTTTCCTGTATTCATAGATTTCACCATCATATTGTTGACTTGATACTGATTGAGAGGAATCTCCTTTAGAAACTTCAGGGCGATTTAAATTTGCTGATGGCTTCTGAACAAAGGGAGACTGTTGATTCTGGAAAGAGGTAGACTGCTGTCCAAATTGATTATTAGAAACTTGAGGAACAGTTGTAGGTTTGGCAAAAAATTGTTGACCAGGAATATTTGGCATATTACTGAATTGACTAAATGGTTGTTGAGTTGGTGTCTGACTAAAAGTAGACAGGGTAGTTTGTCTGTCAAATTGAGAAGAGGCAGTAGGTGCTCTCGAGGGGAATGCTGATGCAGATGCCTGAGTTATACCATTGAACGATGGAAAAGTATTACCTCGTGATGAAGATGTAGGTGCAATAGGAGCTAAAGTTGGTGGACTAGGATACCTGATCGATCCTTGGTTATATTCTTGTTGTCTTTGGAAAGAATTAATTCCAAAATTTTGCTGGGGAGTGTTAATATTCTGAGAATTACTTTGAGAAAAAATTGGCCTTTGTGTTGGTCTATTAAATTGATTAGAACTTTGGAACCTAGAACCTTCATTTTGTGAAAATGGTGTGTTAAAAGTTTTCGACGGTTGATTATAGTAATATGAACTATCAGGACCCTGAGCTTGGACTGTGGTTTGACTAAAAGCAGGTCTTTGTGTGCTGGATGAAAACTGCACGTCAGTTGCTTGATTTTCTGTAAAACTATTTTGTTGATTAGGGCTATATTCTTGACTTTGAGGTTTCTGGTTCGTGAAATATGATGGCTGACCAATATTTACATTGTCAAAAGGTCTAGAGTTTAGGTTTGGGCGTTGGGGAGTAGAAGTTGACGCAAAAGCAGAGGCAGACGAAAGAGTGGGAGATGGTTCAGAAATTTGAGATGCCACATTTTTGTTTGATAGATTTTCAACCTGTGACTGTATTGGTCGACCATTAGAAGATTGGGAATTATAAGTATTAAAGTTCAGTGTCTGCTGAGCACCATTATTAGCCTGTGCAGCTGGTCTAGATTCAAAGGGAGTAGTTAATTCTGTTTGAGGTTGAGAAGTTGGTTGATGTGACTGTTCGGACACATGTCCAGTATTTTGCGTCAATTTATGTGTACTTGGAATTCTATTAAATGTAGGCCTGGAAATAAGGTCTGCTTGAGATTGCTGTAAGTTTGAAGCCAATGAAAATTTATTAGGCTTTCCACTGTTTGAAAGCTGGAAATTGTTTTGGGTAGACTCAAATCCTGAAGAATCACCCGTATTACCTTGAACTCCAGAAACAAAAGCTGTTGAAGAAGTAGTCGAAATTTGGGGACGCCCGTTATTTAGTGGAGACTGTTGGTATATAGATTGAGAAAGTCCCTCATTTTTGTTGAAATTAGATGGTGGTAAATATTCCTTATTGGAACTAAATTTATTGCCATTGCTCAACTGAGTGTTAATATTATTTGCGACCTGTCCAAAAACATTGCCCGTAGTTGGTCTTCCATTAGAAGAAATTGGTGTATTAAATCCTGGCGTATTTATACTTGGCCTTGAAAATGACTCAGTTTCTTGATCACTGCCTTGTGATAAATCAGTATTATGTAAGGTTCCAGTAGAATGTGTATTTGTAATACTGCCTTGAGCAGGAAGCGTAGTTTGTTTATTTAATCCAAAAGTATTAGACCCTTGATTTTTTTCATTCTGAAGAGAGCTAGGATTTTGCTCAAATGAGTTTATAAGTTCATTCTCAGATCCAGGTTTGTTTGCTTGATTTGATTGTATATTCTGGCTAAAACCATTCACTCTATTAGAAGTAAACGTAGATGTTTGTTGTTGGTTGTTGGTTGGTACATTAAGTGAGGCCTGATTATCTCGTCCTGGTAAATTATTAGAAGTCGGTCTGCCAAAAGGCTGATTGTTCTGATTAATGAACGTGCCACTTGCGGTTGCATCCAATTCAGGTCGATTCCCGGACCGAGACGGTTGTCTACCATTGTGTACTCCATTAACTGCGTCTGTGTAATCGCCTTCTGCATTGTATTTCTGAGCATCGTACGAGCCTGTAAATAAAAAATGAAAGTTGTAAGTCATTTGTCAACGCCTCAGTGCGAACGATCAGTCAGCAATAACATTTATCACAGTACACAATAGGCTTTGAGACTTAATCTGTAGCGTCAGAGGTTTAGTGAATGATATAACTATCTTTATCAATATAAGGAAACTAATTCATAATATCCTTTACTTTAAAACTTATTTTATCTTATTTCTATATCTTAATCTTGATAATTTTATAAACGCGAAAGTTTGTGAGTATATATGGATGTTTGTTACTCTTTCATGCAAAAACTACTGAACGGATTGTGATGAAACTTTACAGTAATATAGCTTATATATCAGAATAACACATAGGCTATAATTTTACAAGTTATTATGTAAATTGGGCAAAATATAATGATAAATGTCAAGTAAGTGAGATGCAGACGAAGTTGCTGTGGTGAGTTGACGCGTCAGCTAGTTTATAACAATTTTTTATATTGAAAGCTTATATATACCTAATCATTAGCTTCATTTTTACATTCTTGTAAAACATAATTAAAATAAATAGAATATAGTAGCAAATATTAAACATAAAATGTAACCATTAGTCAATTATCATAAAATATTTTAACATGCCTTGTTTGTTATCAACTAACAATTCGTCATAAACCGTTAAATGTGTTTGAATTAAAAGAACATAGATTGATCAATCATAATTAATATTAATACATATTCTTAACAGATTAGCCTTAAAATGTAGCTGAGTTACTTGTCAGTTTTATAAATTGAAAATGTCGCTTAAAGTGGACGAAAGGAATTTATATCATCATAAAATTAATTGCATATTTCTTTTTATGTAATATATATGTAGCAAAATAGGCACCAAATACCGTAATTCAACATCTTATTAATATTATAAACGTGAAAGTATGTGAGTATGGATGGATGTTTAATACTTTTTCACGCAAAAACTACTAAACGGATCTTGATGAATATTTACAGTAATATAGCTTATACATCAGAATAACATATAGGCTATAAATTTCAGGGGTCTGCAGAGATTTATACATATTAAGAAATATTTGGTTGGTGTAAAAAATAATACATTTAAAAAAAAATGTCCATGTCATCTTCAATTTAATAAAAAATGCTGAAAAAAAGTCAATCGTGAATACATCTGATTATTTTACTTTTTATATTATTAATGTATATCGAACCCAATTAGTTATTTAATACGAAATATACAGGGTTTAGTGTACTGCCCAATAACACTAATATTATATAGGGAAAGAGCTTATTTTTTATGAGAAAAGTAAATTCTATAACTACTGCATCGATAAGAATTTTTTAGTCCAGAATCTAGTGCTACTAAATTAGTTAGAGTGACATAGATTTTGTATTATGTTAATAGATACAAAAATCACAAATTTATAATAATCTATGTTGCTTTGTTGTTTGTTTATTGTACTGCACCCAAACAAATCCGATGCAAACCACTAGTAATGTAAATGATATGCAATTTACTAATTGTAGTGTTAATTACACCTTCTTTTAAATGATACCCCAATATATAAGCATGACCTTCTATTGAAATATTTTCCAAACTCTCACGCTGTGGAATATATTAATTACATAGTATACAATCACTATACAAACATTAATTAAAACGTACGTGTTGATAATATTCTAATTGTGTGTCATTTATTAAACGATCTCCCAAATTTCAAGGTATACACTCCAATGAATTTTACACATATTACTAAAACACCTATGTTATTATTGAGCAGTACAGTAAACCCAATATATGTTGAAAAAAAAGGATAACTAATTCGTATAAAAACTATAAAACATGTTGTTAATAAATAATTCAAATTAGGTTCAAGATACATAGATTAAAAAAAGAGAAAATATCATATATACCACCAGTTATGAGTAGTAGACAACTGATATAAATGCATATATATTTTGTGTATAAACTATACTATACAAACTTCTATATCGCACATAACATGTGTTATGTGCGATATGTATATCTATGCACTCATACATGAATCAAACATTACATGAATACATATAATATGTATATATATGTATTCATGTATGCCGTGCGAGGATTCGAATCTGCGACTATTGGAGTTAAGGCTGTGTACTAAACCGCTAGACCACTGAGGGCGTCTGTTTTATATCTGTGGACTACATACTTCACACGAAAGCTGCTTCCTCAACATATAGCTAAGTCCGTCATTCACTATTTGTCCCATAAGATCATTATGTCCGTGAGAATAGGAGCAATGGCGACATTTGGCAAACTGTTTCAAAATTAAAATGTCGAACTCTAAGACGTAATTGTTTATTTCTCTAACAAATAAATATAACTTTTGTAAATTAAAATATTTGCATTTGTAAAAGTTAAAAAAAAAACAATTATATTGATAGTGAAATTACAGGATACGAAGCAGGACATCTTCTGTCATGTATCTTATCCTGTAATTTATATTTGTGTAATAAATAATTAATTTCTTTGCCTAATTTCACCTTAAAAAAGGAACTATTCTAATTTAGGCGTATTTATTTACGTTCCGCTCTACTCGACTTATTTTATTATTACAGTAAATTCGAGTATAAAATGATTTTATATCATTAGTCTGAAAATTGGACATTTTTCAATTTTTTATAGTCCTGAATTGTTCATTCAAATGAGCCAATGATACGTTCTTTTTCGGCGATAATTGAGTTTTTTTTAGTTACGTGTAATTATAAAACAAAATTGTTTAAATAAAATCTGATGAGGGTAAAACATTTCCCTAATCTTGTGAATATAATTTCATAGAATTTAATCAGTTATTATAGAATTTTCATAATAACAAATATAGTATGGAGAGAAGTTTTTATAATGGATGATAATGGAAAAGAGCACACGCCTGCGCTAAAGGTTTACACTGGCGGGGCATCAGTGGAGGATGATAGAATAAGCTTGAGGTCAGGTCAGTTGGCCCATACTGATCACCAGGAATTAATCACGATGGATTCCAGCAGGAACCGCGTGGACGTTAACCTAACTTGGGACATTGTTAGTAATGGAATAATTTGTTAGTGACTAACCTATAACCTATACCTTTCTCCCCAATAAGCAGGGACGTTGTACATGTGGCCTTAAATATATTTGGAGTAATTTCTTAGACTACAACATTGTTACCGATGGAGTATTTAGCTCACACTGACTATCCCTTTCTAATTTGGAAGAGAGTTAATTTATTTTATTTATTAATTGTACAATGTTACATTTATCTGTATGATATAAGGTGAAACACATCTCCCTAAATAGGAAAAATCCTGTACTTTAGGATAAGCTTGCTTATTCCCTACATTAAACAATTTATACTACTTTTCTGTGTCACTGTAGTGTTTTAGGATAAGCAGTGCTTATTCAACACTACAGTGACACAGAAATGTAGTATAAATTGTTGACCCGTACTAATTAATTTTACACTAAACTTAGATATATTTAGGTTTTCTTTATGTACATAAAGATAAATTAATACTGACATACGGGCAGAATGAGTTCAAGAATTTCATTATAAGACTTATTTATCAGCCATATAAAAACTAGCATTAGAGATATGGCAGAGTTTCCAAGCCCAAATATAGAATACCAGGATAGAAACTTCATGAAACCAGGACTATTCAGTTTAAAAACAGAACGCAGTAATAGTGTTGCAATAGTTATATCAATATATAGTAAAATTCAAGTAATTAATATGATCAGATTTTTAATAAAAAGTATTTGATAGTATACTGTTGAAAATCAGTAATTAAGAGGCGCGCATATTTTAAAAGCCCAGGATACTGACAAATAACTATGCAGGACTTCTCAGGACACTTCAAAAACTAGGACATGTACTGGGAAAACATGACGGTTTGCAACTCTAGGATATGCAGGCTGAAATATGTATGGATTAATTCTTATACTCATTAAAAGATATTACAGCAAACCATTTGAGCTCAAGGCTTGCTTCACATACAGTACGTATCTTTGCAAATTGGAACATTGTTTACGAATGCAATTATTTAAATTGCCGCTACAGATGTTATACGATTAGTACGATATTGTTATTCCAATGATGAGCCACATTTCGTAACTCGCTACATCGACATCGTCAATGCCATTTCTCACTATTGTCATGGAAATATCATCGAATACCTCATACAGGAAAGGAAGGGGATTATTAATAATGTGACCCCTTTAATAACAATATATCATGCAGTCTCCCTTGGAAACCATCGTAGTAAATTCCAATAATTTGCCATGATGAGTTAATTCACCTGACCTCATGCTTATCTTATCATCCTCCGCCGGTTTTGTTTTATATTACTATAGAGGCAAACAAGCATACGGCCAATCTGATGGTAAATGTTTACCGTGCCTATGGACGCCAGAAATACTTTTATTTTAGACACTAAATAAACTAAACTGGCATTTCAACAAATTACTATAAACTAGTGATCGCTCAATGGTCGAAATTAATTGAAATTATGCTTGAACATTATTAAAGTTCTATCCATACAGGCTTAGGCATGTACGTGTCAAATACGTGGTAATAATGGTAGTGATGTATTTTTTTATTGATTAAATGTATTTTTATATGCATAATTAAAAAAACATTAGCATTCTGCACTCCTTCTATAAGTATCAGAAAGTTAATACTCTTACGTCCGCGCAAATTTCGCAATTTAAATTTAGAATGTAAAAAAAAATAGATTTTGCTTCTAATAAAAATAAATCTAGATTCTGACATTTACACTGAGTTATTATTTTATTATAATTAGCCCTGAAATGCTGAAATTTTTTTTCTGATTAAATGAATAGATTTACCGTTATATAATATTAATACGTGAATTAATATAATGGTAAATTTATTTATTTGTAGTTACGATAGGCGAGTAAAATTAATAGCGATTTTATCTATTGTAAATATCTAACAATATAGTATAGAAATTAATCAAATAATTCCAATTCGTTGTTGGTGTACACCATCTTATGGTGATAAATTAACGCCGTTTATTTTTTATTCACGACTTCTTATAGTGGCCATAAATCTTAAATTATAGAGAAACTAGCTTGTGCTGCGACTTCGTTCGCTTGACCACTTTATTTAAGCAATAGGATTGGTATACTGACGGCTCATTTCATAATAAGGGGATTGTTAGTAATGTGGACTGATTATCCTACAGCTATCAATGTACTATGTGAGGTTGACCTCCACGCAGTTACCCCAGGAAAATATCGTGATAAATTCTTGGTGAATTTGTCATGATGGACTAACTAACCTGACCATGCTCATCCTATCATCTTCCACTGGTGCCCCGCGAGAGTTAAATCGTTAGCGCAGGCAGATGCTCCATTTCATTATCATCCATAAAAAAACCGTCGTCTATATGAACAGCATTACGGCCATCACGTTATCATATCACCCGTGATATCATTCATCCCCTCATACTGTAATTTCACTACCTGATTTGACTCTACAACCGAAATTCTGTTTACAAAGAATTTGTGTTACCTAACAGTTGTCTAGTAGACAACTGTTAGATATAATTAGATACATTTTTTTTGTAAATTCATATATAATATACATAGAAAACATCCTTACTAATACAAACAATCATAGTCATGACTATTTAAAATGATGAAATATTTATATCGTGCGAGATATGGAACTCGCGACAATGGTAGGTAAGGACGACGCTAAATCGCTAGACCACTACGGCCAACTTTCTGCCTGTATGTAATAAACAGCCAGACAGTCGTACTTTCGCATTTGTAATATTATTAATTCACGAATATATAACATAACGGCTCTTAATGAAAATTACCATAAAGATGGAGCATATTACAATGATGAACATATTTTTTTTGATTTGATGTGATGACATTTGATATCTTCATCAAAATCAATATATCAAATCTCATCATATAAAATCAATTTTGATTACCTTAAGACATAATCGTGGAGGGGGTGATATTAAGGATGAAGATTTGGACAAACGAAGTCGCAGGTACAGCTAGCATATCTATGTATACTAATAATATATATATAATATTATAAAGCTGAAGAGTTTGTTTGTTTGAACGCGTTAATCTCAGGAACTACTGGTTCGGATTGAAAAATTCTGTTTGTGTTGGATAGTCCATTCACCGAGGAAGGTTTTAATCTATATAACATTACGTTACGACCAAAAATATTGCAAAAGATGGGGAAATTAAACGCAGACGAGTTGACCAGGTCGGCTAGTGTAAAATATATAAGCGACGGTGACAGTTGCCAATTTCTAAGTGGGTTGGCAGATCGCTTATAGTTCCAGTTACATAAAAATACGTCCTTTTTTTTAATTATGTCATCGTCAAATACAAGAAACTTTAAATAAAGATTAATTATAAGTTTACATTGTTAACTATTGTTCTAAAAGCTTCGCTAAGAAGATTACGTGGAACCGGTTCAATGTGTATGGTTTAATTGATGGTTTGACGGATGTGTGAGATAATGGTCGCTAACGTGTCGCTGGCGTCTGCTTGTATGTTTAATAATTAGAACATTTTTTACTGTAACGGTTAAATTTGACAGTTAAGTATGATTTTAATTAGTAAAGTTATGTTGTCGTGATGTATTACGTTTTTTATGTAAACTGTTATACGGGCTCGGTGATCTAGCGGTTTAGCACACAGCTTCACTATTGATGACCGCGGATTAGATTTCATGCACAATGCATATATATATATATATATTTACTAGCTGTGCCTGCGAAATCTTCTGCGTGGAATAGACGACGAATGAGAAATTTCCTTACAAATTCTCCATTCTTTATTTTATTTTATTTTACCCCCTTAAGGGTAAAAATTTGTACAAACTTTGTCATATTTATTTATATTTAATCAAAGGCCTAAAAATATCTGACAAGCTTAAAAATGACGACACTTCCATTCAACCTTTCGTCTCCCTTTTCACCCCCTTACAATCCTTTATATTAGTAAGTTTTTTCTCAGGATCTGGACTATCTGTGTATTTTTTTTTAATTTTATATAATTTGGCGTGAAAGTGCGACAGAGAGACAGACAGAATTAATTCGCATTCATAATATTAGTGAGTACTATTGCTTATATTGAGGTGGGTTTTCTACGTACATATATTATGTATCTATTTACAAAGAAAAATTAAATGAGCTTGGTACTAGGTTGTGTTATATGAATTGTCCTGGATTGTTATTGTTATTATTTTATAATAAATTAATGTCTTAGGTCTATTTGACCAGGGATATTGTAGTATGTATTGTGGCATTTTATGTTTTCATAGCCTATATTTTCAATTGAAATTAAAATTTGATTTGATTTGATCCTATATTTTCATATTATTTTTTTCGCATTTTATTAAGCTAGCAGACATAGCTAATTTTATTCTGATAAACTATAGAAGTGTAGACTATGTTGCTTGAACAACCAATTTTCAAACAGAATATTAAGGAATTTTTACAGAGAAGTTTCATATAACAATTGTTATATTTTTTCATTGAAAAATCATAGTGCAATTGTGTACCTACAACTTTATGAAAAGACGAATAGATTTAACTTTCTCTCTCCCGTAATTTCATTTTTTCACCCAATTTTAAACTTAAATACTTATTATCAAATTCGTGGCAGTATTTTAATAACTAATCAAATATAATGTAATAAAAAGAACTTACCATCGTCGACCAGCCCAGCCGCCTCGTCTCTAGCATTCTGCTCCAAAGACCTAAGTATCTCTTCAGGGATCGGTGGTGGTGTAGGCAGATGATCACCCCTCGGCTGGTAGCCACCTTCATCAGCGGTGTAAGTCACACTGTATACGTGACCATCATCACCAGTATAGGAATACCCTCCGTGAGCTTGCACACCATTAGTGGCTACTCCACTTTCTTCGGCAGAAATTCCATTATCCGTTTCAAATGCATAGTTATAGTTATCTGTGCCAATGTTACTCTCGTATCTCAAGATACCAGCTGTTCGGTCGCGTGCAGCTTGGGCCCTCTCCGGTTTATTCTCAAAGCCTTGAGATCCTCGAAGACCCTGATTGAATCCTTGGGGAGACACATTCGTATCGGCGGTCTGACCATCAGCAGGCAATCCAGAATTGCCAAATTGACGGAATCCCGCCGGTGAACTGAATGCAGCCTCTCCAACTTTGGAATTGGTCGAGCCGTATGCTATCCTCGGTGCTCCAAGACCAGTTTCGGCTTCTGACGTCCTGGTTCCTGGGCTTGCAGCATCAACGACTACACCTTGGAAATCGTTAGTGAAGCTCCCCTTAGGGAGACCGCCGAGACCTTGATTGAAGGAGTTTTCCAAGGGAGTCTGGAGAGATTCAAAGCTGCCGCCGGCAGTTTTTGCTGACGGTGGTGGAAGGTAGGTGCGGTCGAGTTTGTCACCACTGCACACCGCTATAAGAGCGGTTATTATAACCTGAGATAAAGAAAATTATATATTAATATATATTTATACATCAACAAGAAATATATTTAAATTTAGAACGTAATAAAAATTAGATTTTGCTTCTAATAAAAATAAATTCAGTTCTGACATTTACACTGAGTTATTATTTTATTATAATTAGCTCTGAAATGCTGAAAGCTTATTTATATTACTAAAAAAATTAAGAGTTTGCAAAATTCGACTCGTAATAAAACGTTCAGGGTCACTGCTGTGCATAATTATGTAATGACCGATAGTTCATTCTAGATATAAGCAATTGATGTTGATTAGCATATCTACTAATCTGTAATAAAACATATAATTATATACATAAATAGTTACAACTATATCAAGAAGTAGTAAAAAATTTGGTAGGGTTTTCCGGTCGGAGCGACTTGTTACTCATTTTTGTTAATACGAACTTCCAAATAGCAAAGTTGACATATAGAAATGAATGACTGAGTAACAAAATAAATTAGTCATGGTTATCAGAGCAGATCAGTCCTTACAAATAGCACTCGTTTACGAGTATAAGGGTTGAGCCAGCTATCATTGCGCTCAACCCTATTTTCCGAGCCCAAAGCTGTACGCACTGAAATTTCTAAAAGCTAGACACCTAAATCCTCTTTTAAAAGACCCAGACCTTTATGTAAATATATAGCACAAGGAAAAATTAAAAACTAAATTAAATAAGAAGGATAACAATTAGGATTTCCTCAAAGCGATGACAAATGATATATTATTATCACACACTAGAATTCAAGTAGGTAGAACGACACAATTAGAAATGGCACCGTTTCTCTATTTTTATGTAACCATTGTGCAAGTACCCTTCCGAAAATCACTTAAACACACTCATTAATCAAAACACTTCCATGAAAAGGCTATTACCAAATTCATATTGTACTGTTATGGACCCCGATATCTGGGATGCTCCCACAATGATGGGTCAGCTGTAACTGTCTGCTTTTATGAATCGACCCCAGCTTTTTATACTGCATATAAGACGAGTTAAAACGTGCTTGTCGTTCTTGACAACGATACATCACGTACTTGTTTAAACGAATACGTATTCTCTATTTTAAAGTAACATAGAGTTGAAATTTCCTCGATAGAAGGTTAAAGTAAATGAATAGATTAATGTGGTAGAGATGCACGTATCCATGATACAGAGGTAGTACTATTCATACGTTTAATTGGAGATGAATACTTCATTTTTATAATGTGTACAATAATTCGTGATCTGATATATTAATAGGGCACGAGACTTGTATACTTTGATGGTTAATAAATTTATATTTAATGAGTTTTTGAACACAATTGATCTCTATGGATTTATGATACTTCCTGTAAGTGTGAGTAGTTTTTAATGTAAACATCATAGAGATATAAACATAGTGGTTTAATACCCTGACACTTCGCACAAGTTTCAAAACTGGCCGATACAAAAAAAAATATTTGTGACTACGTTAGTCACAAATGTAAATTGACATTAAAAAAATGTATGTCACACAAATATTGTGTTTAACCTAGTCACAAATATAAATAACGTACATTTTTTTTTATATCGGTCACTTTTGAAAAGTAAAGGAATCACCAACATCTAATCAAAACAATTTTCGAATAGGAACACAGTCAGTACTAGTTTTCTTGTATGGGATGGGGTATCTGTATGTAATATTATATTATCTGTGGTACTAGTTTCTGCAGTTTCTATTTGCAGGACCCTTTAATTGTACTGCCATACCTTAGGCAGTAATATTCTAGGGTGAGACCCTATAATAATAAATATAACATTACTGACTAGATCTGGGGCAGTATAATAAATTAGTGCATGACGACGTGGTATCTGTGATTTTTTTTATATACCTATTAGTATGATAGTCCATCAGGTGTGCCCTCAGATTACATTTATTTTTTATACTCGTAAATCCTTAATTTATTAAGTTAGTTTCTATGTGATCATGATAGATCAGCCGTAACCATCTGTACCTGCATCCTTCTAATAACACACTGAATAACCCTTTCATCAGTATTTAATTTTTTGTAATTTTTTTACGGCACAATATTGTTACTGGCAACGTGTTCACCATTATTTTCTTAAATATTTATACTATTTACTATAAGCTATGAGCACTCTTGGGAATTATGTATAATAATATTTAAGGAAATACCACAAGCTCAGTAGAGCTTCTGTTATGGAGTATAAGACAACAAGTATAAGTATTGTAAATACATACTTAATATGCGTAGAAATCACCCGAACCCATAAAAACAATCATACTCACGAAAACAAATTTTTGTACCCTGTGAGGAATCAAACCTGCGATCATCAGAAGTAAACTGACATGCTAAACCGCTAGACCACCGAGGTCGTCAAGATATAAATGTAATTTAATGATTAATTCCTAAATTGAAAATCGTATTCACCACTTTCGATATCATAACCAATTCAATTTTTTAATCACTATGCATACCGTCCAGTTCAACTATATACTTGTAGCGGTTTCACCGCCTTGGGGGTGGAGGTGATAATGAATCATGTTGGATCCCCCAGGACAGCATCGTGATTAATTTCTAGTAAATTTGCCACGATGGGGCTCACTTCGTGTTCTGTGCGGTCGGAGAAGTATGCAATTTCGCACACTTATAGTTTACTAGCTGTGCCCGCGGTTTCACACTCATGAAATTTATAGCCTATGAGCTATTCTGATGTATAATCTATATTACTGTATTCTAAAATTTCAACAAAATCCGTTCAGTAGTTTTTGGGTGAAAAGGTATAAAACACCCAGCCATACTCAGAAAGTTACACATTTATAATATTAGTTAGATACTGAGATAAAATACAGAGAAGTATAAAATGCAGATTTGTTTATATTATGCAAAATCAAATACATTAAATCAGTAAAAAAAACATTACACACCGTACTATGTATTTGACATATACACGAATATATACTCTTTTGTTTATTGTTAAAGTCTGGTCAAATTGAGAATGACTAATATTGTTTTAATATTATTTGTCTATAGTCTTACTGAATGTTAAGAATAGAATAGAAAAACATTTATTCAAATAAACTTACATTGAAGCACTTTTGAATAGTCATTACATTTTTTAATCTACCGCTCGTTCGGAAAGCTGTCTCATCACAAGAAGAACGAGCAAGAAATTTGCGTGTTGCTCTTTTAATAATTTTATTATTACTTTACATTTTTAAGTTTAAATGTGTGAATACAAACCACCAATTAGCACTAATTCAATTAAATACTCAAATAGAAAAAATATTGAATATATAACCAACAGGTTAAACAATTAATAAGAGAATCAGTCATAGTGATTAGAGCAGACCAGTCCCTACCAGCAGCACCCGTTCACGAGTACATAATATATATATTAAATTAATTATAGTCGATGTTCGACCACTGGGCTACCATCATCTGCTTCTTCCTTATCCTATTTATTTGTGGTCGGCGTAATATATTTTTCTTTTCCATTCATCTCTGATCGCAGTCATCTGGTTATTAACTCTTTTTCTTACCATATCATCTTTCACACAGTCCATCTTATTTTTCCTTCCTCTGCCCTTATAACCATCCACATTCATATGTAACACCTTCTATAAAATATCACCTTTTATTTTTAGCACTACTTATTATTATTATAGAAACAAAAATATACATTAAGCTTACAAATGATTAATGAACATTGAACAATCAACATGTATTCCGGAGGTGATGATTACAATGATTGAATCAATTGCCTCCAATGATACATATAGACAAAAAATAATTTTCTTTATTGATTGTGCACTAATAAAAAATATTCAATAATACAATCAATAGAATGATCATGACTTGGGCGTTATAGTGATGATTTTTCCGTCATTAGATGAATATGGTTTTTATGGCATTTTAGTAGCAAACTTTGATAATTAACGTGAATGCTTATGGAACCCGGATGGGTCCATGATGTAGACGGCCTCGGTGGTACAGTGGTTTAGAACACCGCCTTACTTACGGTCACGGGTTCGATTTCTCACACGGTATAAACATTTGTATTCAAGAGTATGATTGTTTGTATGCGTCTGGGTGTTTTCTATGTATTTACAACAAAAAAGTAACAATGTCTTTATATCAGTTGTTCGCGAGTACAAAATTTTTTAGTCATGAGTATGACTGTTTGTATCGGTTCACCGGTTTTCTATGCATATAATGTTATGTATTTAAAAAAAAACAAATATGCAGCCCTGTAATTCTGTTGTTTCCTATATGGAACTCGATTTTTATGCATCATAATAATTAACAGACATGAAACAAATCGAAATTAACAGATATTTTTTTTTCTACTAAACCTAACTGAAATTTCACTACCAAATCTTAGCTTTCACAGGAACATAACGCGTAAAGTAACCAGACAAATGGTAATTGTGAAAAAACGATATAAAATAAATCGTGATTTTTTTATTACATATTATATTATATAATTAGAAAATTTAAACTTAAAATAATAAATAAAAACAAATATTGTTAGATAGAGAGATTTACTAATGTATTTTTTTATATTATTTAACACTTTGTCGCTTAATATACATATTTTTCAAGCCGACTGTACATCGTAATAATTACTTGCTCACTGTCCGACTGTACATCGGTCTAAAAAAGTACCTACGTACCTATTTAGGAACGGAACTGTTGCTAATTATTTAGAAGTATTTTTTGTTTTTTTTTTTAATATATATTACGTCATAAATATTACTAATGGCCGGTGTTGGAGTAATTTTGTTTTTATTCAAATTAAGAATTATTCGATTTTAATAGTTCAGAGTATGTAATATTATGTTATCTATGGTTTAGAATGATCTCCTATGGGCATAATTACCTGACCTAACATAATTACCATTGCTGTTCATGTGGGTTGGTGACCGTACTAATAAGTAAATTGTACATATATGTTTTAATATTATCAATACATAAATACATACTCATGTATTTATGTT